CAATATAGGGTCAGGACAGAGTATTTCTCGTCTCTTCATTAAAAAAAGAATATCTTCATTAAAAAAAAAGAAGATTCAAACCACAACCAAGGGTGGAACAATCTGCACGATCTCAGGAGAGATCAAGTTTTAAACCCAGGCGTGAGTCCTGCAAGTTATTTCCACCACACGTGAAGGTGTAACGTCGATTTATGGTTGCAGAGGGCTGGATATCAGCTGCAGGACCTTGTCCCTTCCTTGGGACGTGCGGTCCCTCGCTGCGGCTCAGCTCTCTCTTCAGCTCCACAGGCCTCAAACACAGAAGCTCAGCCCGGATCGGGACCAGCCTTATGAAACTTCACTGATTTGTTTTGAAAACTTGCTGCTGTTTTCTAGAAGATGATGAAAACGGGGCTTTTTTTTTTCCCTCTTGCTTGCGGCTTTGTCGAGGGCAAACTGCTCCGCGACTAACGGGCCAAGAGAGCCTCCCACCGCACGCGGGGACCACATCTGATACCAGCACCTGGGGCAGGTGACAGCAGAGTCTCTCCGACCTCCTCTGGGCCCTCAGCTTTGTTGACACAACACCATCAAAGGCACCTTGCCCTCAGCTCACCAGAGGAAACCCGATCCTCAAACTCCTACTCAAAGAAGAAGAACAGAGGGGGAAGAACAGAGTCAAGAGGAACCCATGGGAGAGGTTTGGGTTTTTTTGCACCGGCGTGTTAAGGCTGCCCACGAGGTTTAAAGTGCAAACTTCAGGCTGCAGGTCTCGTTTTCGAGCTAAAGCAAGGAAATCAGCTGCTCTGATGCTGTGAACACGGACAGAGAGGATCAGAGTGTCTAATGAATGAGTTTTGCCTCCAAGCTTGTTCTGATCCCAAAAGCATAGAATCATAATATCATAGAATGTCTTAGGTCAGAAGGGACCTTAGAGATCATCTCATCCAACCCCCTGCCATGGGCAGGGATGCCCTTAACCAGCCCAGGTTGCTCAAGGCCTCGTCCAACCTGACCTTGAACACCTCCAGGGATCCACAGCCTCTCTGGGCAATCTATTCCAGAGTCTTGCCACCCTCACACTGAAGAATTTCTTCCTAAGGTCCAATCTAAACCTACTCTCCTTCAATTTAAATCCATTTCCCCTTGTCCTATCACTGGATGCTCTTAGAAAAAGTCTCTCTCCAGCCTGCCTGTAGGTTCCCTTCAGGTATTGGAAGGCAGTGATATAAACCATGCAGAAGCGATGAGCAGATTTCCCACCTCCCCAGCAAAAGCAAACGCAGCACCAGCACGGCTGCAGGGAGACAAAACCACGAGGAAATGAGTCCTGGGGAGCGTTACCCCCCACAACACGTGGAAGGGTGGCCACGACAAGGCAAGAGCCTTTGGGCAGCCAGCAGGGAAAGCGGAGCCGCAAATCTCCTGAACTGCCCTGATATCAGAGCGGGATATGGCGGCTCGGTGGTGGGAAAACATGCTGCGGCAAGGGGGGAGCGAGGGGTCTTTCCAGCTCTCTTGCCTTCCCAGGGAGCTGTAGGGAAGACGGCAGCAAAAGGGCGGAGGGGGATCACGCTTGGCAGAGGATGATAAAGCAGAAACAACCGGGAGGATATGCAGCCCCTGTAGGACTTCAGCTGGCGTTCCTCTCCCTGCAAAGGTCTTTATATTACAATTCCTTACTTCATAAGCACAGTAAGAGGCTCAGTAAAAAGAGCTTTCCATCTCTGTCCCGTAAGTCCCTGGGAGCAGGGCAAAACTACAGCTGTTTTTCTCACTGATTTGAAAGAAAAGTTGTTTCCAAGCTCAGCGTATGGTTCTGGCAGAGAGAGGCCAAGAGCAGGGCTCCCGAGGAATATAACCCAACCGATACAGGAAGGCAGAAAGTCTGCAGAAACGCACCGACTGCAATAACACGGGCAGGCCAGAAGCGCCGCTGCCTGGGGACACGCTCTCGAGCCTGCCTGTAAATCTCACCCCGCAACCGAGGACGACACGAACAGGAGACGCGGGTGACAGCGAAGGGCCTGGGTCAAGCGCTGATGGCTGAGGCAGCTTCCCTCGGGACCTGCCATCAATTTTCACCGCGCAGAGACAGAAGGGATCTCGTGGCGAGCTTTTCGCAGGCCTGCGCGGAAAACGGGACTATCGCCGCCGAAGTTGTCCTGCCCGCGCCCTCGCTGCGTGCTGCGGCTTGAGAGAGAGGAGTCGAGACTAACCCTTGCCTCCAGCTGGATAAACAGACTCCAGCGTAAACCACCTCCAGTCTTCCACCAGCTTCTCCTCTGGGCAGATAGGCTAAAAGTCAAAGAAATGCCCGGACTAATCATGCAAATGCAGGCAAAGAAAGCATCCCAGGGCAAGAGAAAGGCACC